TTCGTGTGGATCGGGTTGACGGACGCCGATGGCAGCTGGAAGTGGGTGGACGGCTCACCCTACACAGTTGTGTCACGGTAGGTTCCACCGGAGGGGTTTTCTCCCTTCCCCCACCCACCCAGAGTTCCCCTTTGACTATCCATTGGTAGTCAGCCTCAAGAGGGACTCTCGAGATCATCTACACCAACCCCAGGTTTGGCACAGCTGGGGAATTCTGGGAGTTGAAAGCCCGACATCTTAAATTTGGCGAAAGATTGTTCTATAAAGATAGTCCTCAACTTATGATAGATTGCTTGATGACTGTTACAGTGAGGACAGGCTTTTAAACACCTAATTATGTGAGCACAGGACCCTGCGACCATCATAAATACAGGTCAGTTGCCGAGAATCTGAACTTGGATCCCGTGACCATGGAGATGCTGAAAATGGTCGTAAGTTGAGAAATGGTCATAAGTCCCTTTTTTTTAGTGCCATTGTAACTTTGAATGGACACTAAATAAAGTGTTGTAAGCTGAGGTATTTTATTTTATTTTATTATTTTATTTTATTTTATTTTTTATTTTTATTTTATTTAGTATTTTATTTTATTTTTTATTTTATTCTATTTTATTTTTATTTTTTATTTTTATTTTATTTAGTATTTTATTTTATATTTTATTTTATTTATTTTATTTTATTTTATTTTTTATTTTATTTTACTATTTTATTTTATTTTTATTTTATTTTACTATTTTATATTTTATTTTATTTATTTATTTTATTTTTATTTTTTTATCTTAATTTACTATTTTATTTTTTAGTGTTTTATTTTTTATTTTACTGTTTTACTATTTTATATTTTATTAGAATAGAGTAGAGTAGAGTAGAGTAGAGTAGAGTAGAGTAGAATAGAATAGAATAGAATAGAATACAAAATATGGAATGGAATAGAATTAAAATTAGAATTAGAATAGAAACAGAATAATAAAAATAGAATAGAATAGAATAATAAAATACAGAATAGAATAGAATAGAATAGAATAGAATAGAATAGAATAGAATAGAATAGAATAGAATAGAATAGAATAATAAAATACAGAATAGAATAGGATGGAATGGAATGGAATAGAATAGAATAGAATGGAATAGAAGCTGGAAGGGACCCTGGAGGTCTTCTAGTCCAGCCCCCCGCTCAAGCAGGAGAAGCTATACTATCTCAGACAAGTGACCGTCTCTAGCCTCTTCTTAAACCTCCAGTGATGGAGCACCCACGATTTCTGGTGTCAAGCAGTTCCACTGGTCAATTATCCTCCCTGTCAGGAAGTTTCTCCTTAATTCCAGGTTGCTTCTCTCTTTGATCAGTTTCCAACCATTGTTTCTCGTCCTTCCCTCTGGTGCTTTGGAGAATGACGTGACCCCCTCTTCTTTGGGGCAGCCCCCCCAAATACTGGAACGCTGCTATCTTGTCTCCCCTATTGAGTTTATATTAGTTTACTATTTTATTTTGCTTTGCTTTGCTTTGGTGTCTGCGTTGTGTTGTTTGAAGGCATGGAAATTGTAACCCACGAGACTGTGGTGGGCAAGCGGGCGCCCCCAGCCCCGCACTCACAGCCTCTCCCCTTGTCTCCCCTCTGCCCCAGGGACTGGTGCCCCGATCAGCCCGACAATTGGTATGACCACGGACTGGGCGGTAGAGAGGATTGTGCCCACCTCCATAGCAACGGCTGCTGGAACGATGCCCACTGCACCCGGGCGTACGGCTTCGTCTGCGAGATGGAAACGGAAATTTAAAGGGAGCGGGCAGCCCCCCCCGACCCAGACGATGCCCCTGGAGTGGATCACCAGATCCCGGCTTGGACTGGATGCTGACAAGATCCCTTGGTTTGTACTCAAGACCTTCGCTTCCATCTTGAGCAGGGGTCTTCAAACCTGTCCCTTTGATGACTCGTGGACTTCAACTCCCACAATTCCTCAGCCAGGCACGCTGGCTGAGGAATTCTGGGAGTTGGAGTCCGCGAGTCACCACGGGGCCAAGTTTGAAGACCCCTGCTTGTGAACTTCAACTCCCAGAATTCCTCAGCCAGGCATGCTGGCTGAGGAATTCTGGGAACTGAAGTCCACAAGTCATCAAAGGGTCCTAGTTCCCTCACGCTGGCTGAGGAATTCTGGGAGTTGGAGTCCGCGAGTCACCACGGGGCCAAGTTTGAAGACCCCTGCTTGTGAACTTCAACTCCCAGAATTCCTCAGCCAGGCATGCTGGCTGAGGAATTCTGGGAACTGAAGTCCACAAGTCATCAAAGGGTCCTAGTTCCCTCACGCTGCCTGAGGAATTCTGGGAGTTGAAGTCCACAAGTCATCAAAGGGCCAAGTTTGAAGACCCCTGATCCTGAGAATTGGCCTGAGGACTTCCTGGCTCTGTCTCCAGTCCTCGACTTACAAGCATTCGTTTAGCGACCGTTCAAAGTTACGCCGACACTAAAGAAGCGACTTCTGATCCTCTTTCACACTTACGACCATTGCGGCATCCCCGCGGCCACGGGATCAAAATTCCAACGCTCGGCCACCGACTCGTATTTATGAGGGTCGCAGCGTCCCCGGGAGGGGTGTGTGTCACGCGATCCCCATTTTGCGACCTTCCGACAAGCAAAGTCAACGGGGTGGAGCCGGATTCACTTAACAACCGTGTGACTCACTTAACAACCACAGATATTCACTTAAGGACGGTGCAGGAAAGGTCATAAAACGGAGCGAAACTCAACGGTGCCACTTTGCAAACTGTGGTCGTCATTTGAGGAGCTGCCTGAGGTCGTCCTCAGTGTGAACGCTGCTAACCTCGGATGTTTTTGCCTTGACAAGAGAGAGAAATGCAGCCATCTTTTGCCTTTCGCTTTTAGATGATGCTGGGAGAGAGGGATGTGAACGAGAGCCCAGCCAGACATAGCAACACTAAACCTAGCGTGAGAATCAAGGTTATTGTAACCAGAGCTGATAGGAATTGGCAGGCTGGAGAACTGGAGAGGAGGCCCGTGTTTCAAGCTAATTGGGGAACGTGATTTATGACTGTTAATTAAAGGAGGGAATTGTGCTTTGATACTATGTGCCCAGGGGAGGGGAATTCAGTTTTTGGCTTCGATTATGCCGATATTATGCTCCTCAAAATAAAGATTCTTTAAGGTAAAACAGTGCCTCGAAGTTCTTTCGAAGAGTTTCATCTGTCGGAACCGCGACGCTCAGCTTACGACTGTAACAGAGCCCAGAATTTCCACGGTAGGCCGTGTGACGGTCATAAATCAAGACACGCATGGGACCAGATCCAGTTTCACACCTCTCTTTGTGACCGTCACTAAACGGGCACCACGGTTGTTATGGGAACGCCACGGGTAAGGAAATCAAAGCGTTTTTGGGCTGGAAACAGGCAAAGATATGTCATCAAGATGGGCAGCCCATGAGTTTCACAAATAGACAAAGCCACACGACCGCAGAGTTGTGCGGCCATTGGAACACAACCGGGGTCACAAGCGGCTTTTGGGGTGGTCTGTCATAACTCTGAACAGTCGCTAAACTCATTGGTCGTAAGTCGAGGATGACCTGCCTGCTTCAACTCAAACTTAGCGGAAGGGGAAAACTGTTGGATGTTGGAGTTAAGTCACCCTTGATGTATGTGCTGGATGTAAATGCATTAAAAGGATTCCATGATCCACTAGATCGAGATCGAGTAACCACCGTCAGTTCGGCAAGTCATCTGGTTTGCTGCAGGAATAAGTCGATTCTGGAGAGCGACGACAATAGAGTACAGAATAAACCGAGTTGGAAAGGGACCCTGGAGGTCTTCTAGTCTAACCCAACTGCTCAGGCAGGAGACCCTATTCCATTCCGGACAAGTGGTTGTCCAATCTCTTCTTGAAACCCTCCAGTGATGGAGCACACACAACTTCTGGAGGCAAGGAGTTCCACTGGTTAATTGTTCTGATTGTCAGGAATAGAATAGAATAGAATAGAATAGAATAGAATAGAATAGAATAGAATAGAATAGAATAGAATAATAGAATAATAAAATACAGAATAGAATAGAATAAAATAATAAAATACAGAATAGAATAGAATAGAATAGAATAATAAAATACAGAATAGAATAGAATAGAATAGAATAGAATAGAATAGAATAGAATAGAATAGAATAGAATAGAATAGAATGGAATGGAATGGAATAGAATAATAAAATACAGATTAGAATAGAATAGAATAGAATAGAATAGAATAGAATAGAATAGAATAATAAAATACAGAATAGAATAGAATAGAATAGAATAGAATAGAATAGAAGCTGGAAGGGACCTTGGAGGTCTTCTAGTCCAACCCCTTGCTCAGGCAGAGAGACCCTATACCAATCCCTTCTTTAAAAACTCCAGTGTTGGACCACTCACAACCTTCGGGAGAACCCACAACGTCTTCTCTCTCGGGCTTCAAAACCCACACCAATGGCTATTCTCTGGTTTTCCTTGGAAAGTGCCTGTCTGAGGATCTCCACGTTCCGGCCGACGTGACGCGCAAGAAGTAGCTGCTTTCATAGGTGCCCAAACACGTTCTCCTGCCCCGCCGGGATGTGCTTCAGCATCAAGGAGCAGGAGAGGATGTGACACACTTTTGTGATGGCTTCTCTGGCTGACTCACCCGCCTTGAGTCAGGGTGTGACACCAAGGTCAGTTTGACCACAGTTTGGCTAGCCATATTTTTGTCATTTAGCAAGAGAGAGCGGAGCGAGCATCCTCACGGGTGACAATCTCAGAATCCTAGAATGGAGAGCTTTGAACCTGGGAAGGGAAGGAGCAGGGATCTTTGGAAAGTTGGATCCTTTTGGCTGGTCCTTCAGAATCCAGCTGGGTTTTCCGGGAATCTCCCGGGGTGTTTGGAAACATCTGGATTGGTCTTCCATGCATGAAGGGTCTAAATCAGATAAAGGGGTCCCTCCCTCCGAGATTTGGAAGGATAATGGGTTTAGGAAAAATTTCGGGAGAGCTTCAAGGCACCTTCTCCAGCTTGGTAACTTTAAGAGAGGTGGACTCCAACACCCAGAATCCCCCAGGGTGGAGAATTCTGGGAGTTGAAGTCCACCTCTCTTAAAGTTGCCAAGTTTGAAGAATGATGATTTAAAGCTGGGGGGTCTTCAAACTTGGCCCTTTGATGACTTGTGAACTTCAATTCCCAGAATTCCTCAGCCAGGCACGCTGGCTGAGGAATTCTGGGAGTTGAAGTCCACAAGTCCTAAAAGGGCCAGGTTTGAAGACCCCTGTCTTAAAGCCTCCTGGCTGAGGAATTCTGGGAGTTGAAGTCCACAAGTCATTAAAGGGCCAAGTTAGAAGACCCCTGATTTAAACAGTGCTGAACTTGGCTGGGGCATTCTGGGAGTTGAGGTCCACCTCTCTTAAAGTTGCCAAGTTTGAAGAGCCCTGATTTAAACAGTGCTGAGCCTGACTGAGGAATTCTGGGAGTTGAAGTCCACCTCTCTTAAAGTTGCCAAGTTTAAAGAATGATGATTTAAATCAGGGGTCTTCAAACTTGGCCCTTTTAGGACTTCTGGACTTCAACTCCCAGGATTCCTCAGCCAGGTATGCTGGCTGGGGAATTCTGGGAGTTGAAGTCCACAAGTCCTAAAAGGGCCAAGTTAGAAGACCCCTGATTTAAACAGTGCTGAGCCTGGCTGGGGCATTCTGGGAGTTGAAGTCCACCTCTCTTAAAGTTGCCCAAGTTTGACAAACACTGATTTAAACGGTGCTGAGCCTGGCTGAGGAATTCTGGGAGTTGAAGTCCACAAGCCATAAAAGGGCCAAGTTAGAAGACCCCTGATTTAAACAGTGCTGAACCTGGCTGGGGCATTCTGGGAGTTGAAGTCCACCTCTCTTAAAGTTGCCAAGTTTGAAGAATGATGATTTAAAGCTGGGGGGTCTTCAAACTTGGCCCTTTGATGACTTGTGGACTTCAACTCCCAAGATTCCTCAGCCAGGCATGCTGGCTGAGGAATTCTGGGAGTTGAAGTCCACAAGTCATCAAAGGGCCGAGTATGAAGACCTCTGGTTTAAACAGTGCTGAGCCTGGCTGAGGAATTCTGGGAGTTGAAGTCCACCTCTCTTAAAGTTGCCAAATTTGAAAAACACTGATTTAAAAAATGCTGAGCCTGGCTGGGGCATTCTGGGAGTTGAAGTCCACCTCTCTTAAAGCTGTCAGGTTTGAGACACTCTGCCCTGGATCGTGGCGCTCCTTCCACGTGCCGAGACGGCCGGGCTGAGCCAAGGCCGTGAAATCAGGCCGCCGACCCGGTGACTCACCCAGCCAGTCTGAAATTACCTGCAGGTTTTGCAATGTGACCGGAAAACAAAAACCTGCAAAGTTTGCAGCTGGTCGAGCAAGGGTGTGTGTGCGTTCAGACAAGCACGGCAACGACAATTACGTGCGGCTGGAAACGAGGCCCGGGATGGTGCCGCGGAGGCGGGCGTCTGCACAGCGCTGTTTCCTTTTAGGGCTGGGATGGAGTTTGTTTGGTTCCTCACCTGGGAAACAGGGCTGGGCAGAGGCGGGGCGTAAAAAGCGGTGGAATTTTGTTACAGAAAACAGTGAGATCATGGCAGCGAGCCCAGTCGAATCCTCCTGCAGCCGAGCCCCAGAATTGATGAGGCTGGTAAAATACCAGCAGTCCCCGACTTACGACGGTTTATTTAGTGACCGTTCGAAGTTCCAGAGACTCAGGATCCTTTTTCACATTTACTACCCTGGCAGCGTCCCCTGCGGTCACGTGATCAAAATTCAGAGGCTTGGGAACTGACTCATGTTTACGACGGTTGCAACGTCCCCCCCGGGGTCAGGTGGTCCCTCTTTTGCGACCGTCTTACAAACAAAATCAATGGGGGAAGTCTGATTCATTTAACAACTGTGTTCCTCACTGAACAACTGCAGTGGTTCATTTAACACAGGGGTTCATTTAACACAGGGGTCTTTGATGACTTGTGGACTTCAATTCCCAGAATTCCTCAGCCAGGCAGCCTGGGGGAGAGACTTGAAGCCTGTGGGGAGACTTGAACCCAGGTTTCCCACATTCCCAAGCTCACTTTTCAAAGCATTCGCTCGCGGTATCCCAAATCCCGACCTGCTGGGGGCTGTTCCCTGTTCCTTGCATGCCCCAGCACTGCGTGGAAACTGGGGGGTGGGACTGCTGGAAGAGGGTGGGATCCCAGTTGTGAGACACCCCACCGCCTACCTCCCATCACTTTTCACCCACCTCCCATCACCCACTTCCCATCGCCCACAGCCCATCACCCACCATCGATCACCCACCTCCCATCATCCACTGCCCATCACCCACCTCCCATCA